ATATACATATACATATACATATACATATACATATACATATACATATACATATACATATACAAAAATGTTGAGAGGTAAATGGTAACCCATAGATCTATGTAAATGTACATATTATTCGAGATTAAAGGCAAAAGGTCATATGCCATGGTTTTTCTTTTATTTTCTTTAATTAATAAAGTAGGATTGATTTACCTATGGTTGCTATAATATACACCATTCGATATATATTGCATGTAACATCTTGCACGGCACACATACAAACATGTGTTTGCATATGTATGTGTGCATGTATGCTGTGTATATGTATGTCGATTGATGTGTGTATGAGGCTTCATCATTAATGCTTGATTTATGTACATGTATGTACGTATATCGCTCGCTCTCTCTCGCTCTCTCTCTCTCCCACTCACTTTCAAATAGTCTATGTGTATGTGTTTGAGTGTGGGTGGGTGGGTGGTGTGTGTAGATAATGTTAAAGTAGTATTAAACTAGCCTACATACATACAAACTATTTAAATATCGTATCGTATGTACTATTTAAAGTCGATCCTTACATTTTGGTTGGTGTTTGCAGGACACTTTCATATATACATATGTATATACATGCATATATATTTCTGTATATATACAAATACATATGTATATGTGTACATATATATTGTGTAAATTCGCAGTAATGCTCAGCGGTTTTAATTTTAACTTAAATTATGGATTCATTTATTTAAATTACAATATTTGTGCGCTCTTCAATCCTCCACCGAATCCCGCCTCCGAAACATCTACATATTGATTCACAGATTTTTAACTATCTAAACGCTAACTGGTTTTATTTTGTTTTCCTTTTTGATTTGGAATGTTTCTAGTGAGTAATATATATATAGTATATATATATACATATGTATGTATGTATATATATGTGAACTAGATGTCTCTCTTATATTTTGTCAGCAGGCTCTTCATATATGTATATATGTATGTTTATGTATGTCTGCATGTATATCTGTTGTTGCTATTGGTTAGCTCCTAGGGAAAATCTATTGTCAGACTCGCTCAATAATGTCATGGCTGTCTATGTACCTAAATACCTACATATATATGTATGTACATATGCATGCATATCCTTTAATGTTCTTGTAAGCATATAGATGTGTAGTATATATGAATCGGAAAAGTATCTAGATATATGTATGTATGTATACGTAAAAGAACTGCATTTAGAGTATCCGAGAATAAGTGAGATAGCTATACATATGTACAGGAAACATAGACATAATTATATGACAGTGCATTCGCTTTATCTCTGTATGCAAGAAGGGAAGACAACAAATCGATCAAACCATAATATTTGTAGACCAGCAACATAAATTGGAAATACCGTAAGCTACTTTCCTCATTCCATATATGTATGTATGTATGTATATATAATTATAGATATATTTTCCTATTATGCACATGGAATTGAATCTAGCTGAATTTAGTTTTACTTTATCTTTATCTTTAGCTATAGCTTTATCTTTAGTTTTATCTGTATCTTTATCTTTATCTTTAGTATAATAACAATGGATCTTAAGACACTTATATGCGCGCATACACACACACCCACACACGCACACGCATACACATACAGTTGCAAAAAATTGAGACTCTATCACACACACTTGCACAAACACACACACACACACACACACACATACAGCACGCGCACATATCAGTATTTCAGGCATTAAATATCCGATTCATCCGCATTGGGGCTTTAGCTTTAGCTATTTTATAATCGTAGTCGTAGTCGTAGATAAATACATTACATACAAAAATTTGATATCTACAATAATATTTGATAATATGCACAATCGTATAATAATAAAGATAGTTCGGCATTTAAATGTACATAATTGAATTATTAACTTTAAATATATATGTATATAAACAAGACAAAAACGCTTGCAAATGGATTACAGATTCATCGAGTTATGTATGTAAATATGTATATATACTGAATAACTTACGATGTATGCGTGTAACTACATATGGATACAAACATACCAGCACATACGCACACACACACGCACACATACATATGCACATAAGTGTGTGTGTGTGTGTGCGCATGTGTGTATGTGCATGCATGTGTGTATAGAGAGAGATACTACCTACTTAGAGCTAATTATGTCTACAAGTATTCGAAATATTTTTACGCCTTACATACAATACGTTTCACATCTTTTACTTTTATGACAATCGAGTTAATCCATTATTTATATATTTTTTTGTTTTTGTTTTGTTTTTGTTTTTGTTTTCTATATATACTTTTATGTTTTGCATTGTGTTTTCTCTTTGACTTTTGCTTGTTCTTTGGTTTGAAGATCTTGTTTACATTTCGAAGCGGGCTTCTGCATTTAAAGTGTGTGATACGAATGTTGTTGCTGGTCTTCGGGTGTTAGTTGTTCGTGATCTTGATTAGGTTTACTATATTGGCAATAATGTTGCTCGATCGTCTCGCCAGATAACGCATGCCCATAACTTGAGCTGGCTGCATTATAGTTAACATCGTTATCTGAATAAACTCTCTGAATGGCTGAGACTGGTATTGAAATTGGTAATATCATTGCTTGATCAGTTGGTGTCATTGGTATTGCTATTGTTGTTGCTGTTGCTGTTGCTGCTGCTGCTGCTGCTGCTGATCTTAGTTTCCTGCTTACTAGTATATCCGATAGAGGCGATGTGGTTCGTGTTCCGGGCAAGGACAAAGCCATTGGAACTGGCATTGTTAACAGTGAAGCATCGCTAGGCGAGTACTCGTAGCATGTGTCTGGCTGTAGTTGATTTAGTTCTTGTTGTTGTTGTTGTTGCTGTTGTTGTGTTAAGAATTGTTGCGATTGCGGCTGTCGATTTGGGTCTAAAGCATATGCTGATGTGCTACCTGCTGGAGCTGCTGCTGTATATCGAATACATTCGTTTCGTATCGTATCAAAATTGTGATCTAAGTTTGGTGCTGATAACGATGACCAATTGGCCTGATGCTATACCCAGATCTGTTCGTTCGGATTACGCGATCGCAATCAAAGCCTTTGCTAGCACCAGTCCTCCTCATCCGAATCGGAGTGTCGAGTATTAAGTCCGCTCTTTGGCTTAAAACCATTTAGAACTGGAGATGGCAGTACACGACCCGTTCGGCCCATAGCCAGCGCTTGCTCAAATGACAACGGTGCTATATATTCCAGTCTGAGGGCAAACAACGATTACAATTGATTGAGAACATTCAATTGAGCTGATCATATTACCTTTCTCTTTCCACTTCGCGCTCGCGATCCCGTTCACGCTCGTACAACTCTCGTTCCCGGTCCCGATACTCGTAGCGCACGTCGTACTCGTGCAGCCGATCTCGGTCTCTGAAACGTTCCCGATCACGTTCTCGCTCTCTACTACTATAATACACGTCTCTCGGATCCCGCAAAAGGTCGCGGTGATGCGGCAGCGAGTGAACACTGTGGGGTGTTGAGTGATGCGTCTGAAAGTATTGCAAATTGAATATTACTCGCAATTCACGATAAATGACGGTAGCAAAAATGAATAAGGTAAAGAATTCATAATCAAAAGATCCATAGATTTATAATCTGCAAGCCTAATATTAATTCTTTGTTAGGTTAGTGTCCGACCGAGCGGGGTGCTGGTATTTCCAGATCGATATTTATCGACATTACGAAAATGAAACAAAAGAAAAAGATGTAGATTAGACTCTCCAAGATGGACTCTACCGCACCTCGCTCCGTCTGTGGCATGTACTTGCAGGAATACTTTCTACTCTACACTGAAAACGAATCTACAAATAAAAGTTAGTTGAGGTGATTTGCACTTACGTGGGTTGGACTCGCATTCAGCTTTGGAAAATTAATATTGGTTGGCTTTAGCTGAAGGGTTGACGGTTTGCTCGGAGTCGGTGGTAGGCGTCGTCCGATGCCAGCACGACGAGAGGCCAACGTTGGGTAGCTGTGCTGTACATGGGCGCCACCTAGGGTAAACGGGGGACACACAGAGACGTGACATATTAGTTCATTTGATGGCAGATCAGCGATTGTGTAACCAATTAAAATGTCATGATATAAGCAATGTATGAGCCTAAGAAATCTATCAAGGGCAAGAGTCATCAGAAACCAAACATGGTACATATAATGAAGATATTTCGATTGAGTGTATTCTTGCCCGAATGTTCAGTTGATATTGATATTGATATGGATTTGGATATACTATGCTTCAAGAGAAACTTTTGATTATTTCATCCTGAACATTCGCGCCTATTGAACCAGAATGAACAGTAAATAGATGTACAAGTTATGTGTATATAAATATATATAACATATCTTTTAACTTATCGAATGTCCATATTGAAAAAAAGAGATATATATATATATAATGTGCTAATTATTGTTTTTGTTTTGCATCAAGATGCAGATATACGTAAGATGATTCCGAGTAGAGAGGTAAACAATTGCGATAGCATGCATGACTGTGAACTATAGATACAGGTTGTAAATCGAGAGAGTATAGAGTATAGTATATTCCAGACAGAAAGAATGAAACTAGGATAAACGTAACAGTGCAAAAAGTACGAAATGTTTAAATGTTTGTATATACATATATATAAATATACACGTATAGGTATATATATGTATATATATGTATATATTATATAACAACTGCAGCCTGAATGATAACCATGAATGCAATTCTTGAGCTAATTTCTTTCATTTTTTTTGTCTTTTCCTCTGCAAGTGGAAACGAGAACAGCATCAACAGTAAGAACAGCAACAATAGTAACAATGGTAACAACAATAACAATAACAACAACATAAACAACGACAATAACAACGACAACGACAACAACAACTAAATATAACATAAATCCACCCATGTCTTTGACTCGAAATGAGGGCAAACGAAATATGAAATGAGGATTTGAGGAGTCCCCTTAATGCAGCTGCTGACGCCTAAACTTTGTTCACATTTTGCCGTCGGGCATAAATCAATGTCAAATTAAGATAATGTTGAAGCACATAGATTCTTGGTCAGTTAATTGGGCATAGACAAACAGTAGTGATCTAACATTGAGTCGAGTATACCCCATCTACATATGGATATGATGAAACACAAGTTAAATTTGCAAATGAATTTCAAACGGTTTCGTCTTGTTCGTCGTGAGTCGCGCAAAGATCCATAAACAACATAAACTTCCGCCCCTCTCTTTCCCACTCTCCCCCCTCTAATTCTCTTTATGTTTGTGGTGTGACGAAATAATTTCTAAATTATATATATATATATAATATATAATAATTATATAATATATATATATAGTCTTAAAGTTGTGCTGTATGCATATAATATCTTACAACCGTTTAGTGAAAAGTTATTTCTTGCCAAATTATTTTCGTGTCATTGAATGAGGATGAATGTTTGTACATAGCTGAGGCTGTGGCTGTGGCTGTAGTTGTAGCTGTAGTTGTAGCTGTAGTTGTAGTTGTAGTTGAGTGTATGGGCACTAGAGAGATGGATTTATGAAATGAACGCTGCTAATACGAGTATTTGAGTTCGAGTACAAGTACATACATACATACATACAAAGGTATATTGTTCAAATGGTTCAAATGGTGAAACGCTAACAAAACTGAGAGCTGAGAGTGTAAGTTTATGATTTTTGTAGTAGTAGTAGCAGTAGTAGCAGTAGTAGTAGCAGTAGTAGTAGTAGTAGTAGTAGTAGTAGAGTAGTAGTAGTAGTAGTAGCAGTAGTAGTGGTAGTGGTAGTGGTGGTAGTGGTAGAGTAGTTAGAATAGAAAACTATTTGATTATTGAAAGCTTAGAATGGAACGTCTCATGGCATGACAATACATGTACATGTTAAGCACTTTAGCAGCTGTGTACGAGTAAGCATGTCTGATTGATATATATATCTGATGTTGAGATGTTTGAAGAAATTTGTGTAGAAGAAAGTAGTACTAGCATTATATAGAAAACATGTTGTTTTTTTTTTATCGTGAGAGTGTAAGTGTTTTTTTTTTCTTATTGATTTTGATTTTGGTTTTTTTTTTTTTTTTTTTTTTGTGGTGTGGTTGATATATATATATTTTGATTTGATTTAATTTGGTTTGAATTGTCAGCTTTAGTTTGTTTTTTAACATGTGCCAAAGATGTACCCATATCAATCCCATAACCAAGTCTGTCTCGTTCACGCATCTCCTGAAGTCGAGCGGGACTCGGCGATCGTGATCTTTGACATAAACTTGTTGTCCCATATGTGGGATAAGGCAGTTGAGTGCGTTTACTGCGAGACAAATGACCACCATAACGAGAAGGCGAGGGCGAACGGGCCGGACTTGTCGATGCTGACCATGAACCTATATTGTACATGTAACAACAATAATAAAGAAAAACAACAATAATTAAGGATGTCGGGGCACAACAGTTTACGTATCGTAAAAATCGTTTCGTGTTTGTTTCTTTTTGTTTTATTGCAAAATTCAGATTTTTTTTTTATTATTATATAGTTTTTTTTATTATAAAGCAAAGTTCAAATCTAATTTCGGTAAATAATAGCAAGAAGAAGAAAAACGTAATAGAAAATCAAACAACGAAATGAAGTGAATAAAAGTCATCATTGAATGCTAATTAACTGTAGACATATAATCATAATGATGTATTTACTAGGATACTACAACATTTGTCTTAGATAAAACTTCGGCAGGACCGAATGCGAATGTATGCACTTTCATGTTATCGTATATAACATAAGTGATCTTTTCTCAGCTTCGTTGGATACGATATTGGTTGGGATTAAGATTAAGACCGATACACCTATGGGAACGTATTGGGTATAATTGAAGTTTGAGTCTTAATAAAAAAACGGTATTCAAGCAATCATAAAAACGCATTTCTAAGCTTGGCAGACATTTTTGTTTTCTGTATTCTCTTTTTTGCTTTAAATATATATAAATATACTTTCTGTAGTGGGATCAAATAAATGTAATGGAGCGCGTTCAAACAAATAATATTATATATTTATATTAGTTTTAGCGATCGGCTCACACATAAAAATCATAAGTGCATTAAATATACATACATATTATAGTACATACATAGATTGGTATAGAGAAATGTGTTAATTAACTGTTAAATACCTCTTGGATACCGTGGATGATTGTTGCCATGCCTAGGATGCCGAGTCTCCTTGACCATCTCTACCACATTAGATACGGTATCGGAGAATCCGATATCATGATGTATGTATTGATGGCCGCGTCGTCTAGGACTTGGCGATCTGGCCAAAGGAGAACCGTTGTGCCTGCAAATAGATGACGAAAGCAATTCAAGATTTGGCTTGAGCTATGAGAAGTTGATTTTTGTGTCTGCATATAAAACTTGAAGAAGAATGTAGAAGAAGTAGTCTAGAAATTGTTTATAAGTACAGAAAAAAGTCAAGTATAACTCAAGACTCGATCGATCTGATTTTGATCCATGAAGCAACTTTGGCTCTGCTAACCCTCTTAAAGCCAGTAAACGAGTAAATAATATTTGTCTTTAGATTGTTTATAAAATGATTAATTATAAGGTTTTCTGGAAGCTGAAGATCAAGCTGTTTATGTGAAGATTATCTCTGGCTAACATTGAAATAACATCGTCGGTTTTTAATGACTACGCCGGAAAGGTCATGGCGCAATCTCAGTAATCTTAACTATCAGCGATAAGTTCTACTACCAAGAGCTTATTATCTAAGGCACTGGAGCACTTGTTAGAGCTCTGATTGACTGCCCGTGAAACTCCAGTTGGGATAACAGAACAGAGCATGTTAGTTAACATGAAGTAGCCCTAGTGATTATTATAACAGTAATACTGATTCAGATCTCAATAGACTATATTGCTAGAATAAATTTGGAAATGAATTTAAATGGTGGATGAACTTACCTCGAGCTAGGCGAATGCCGATGGCCATTGATATACGAATGTCCAGGATGTAAATGGCCAGCATCGGGACCGGTCAGCGACTCCTGCGATGGATGTCTCGACGAGTCTTGCAGATCCAGCATCTAGTTAAGAAACGTGGTTGGAGCAGTTAGTGAATGGGTAACAGAAAAATGAATGATACCATTTGAAATCAGCCGCGGCATGGACACCCGAATGAGCATTCAAATATTTGATAGTTTAGATTCATTTTCGATCCGATTGGGGTTATTTATGTGCTTCGCAAGCTGACGGCATTCAAATGAATTCATTCATTCCTTAATTCCAATGGGGTATATATATGTATATATAATTTGATTTTATTTTGGGTATACAATAAAAGCTACAAATGTTACCAATGCTCCGTACTGGAGCGCAGGGAATATAGTATAATATAATATAATATAATATAATATAATATATAATATGATATATATACGTATAAACAAAAGCGACAAAATGAATAGATTCACACACACATATATCCGTATATGGGGGCATGTGAATGTATTCGTTTTGCGTGGGTATTCGTTAGGGGATATACATATACATATAATATGTTAATTAAGAAAAACAAAACAAAACATAGGAACAGGAGAAGAAGATACACACACACATATATACACACACATACATGTAGATATATGCATGTATGTTAGCATGTGTATGTGTATATTACTTCACTGCAACAAAATACATATCCAAATGCGAATTTCAATTGCACTAGGTTGAAGTATCGAAAGGTTCTTAAATGCAGGATAACCTAGTTTAGGGCGTGAAACATTTAAACAATTTCATACACTACTTAAGAGTATACATGTATGTTTACATACTTGAACACTTTCAAATTAATTTAGATCATTTTTTTTTTTTTTTTGGTTATAGTTTTGTTTCTGTTTTTCTTTGTATTTTATGCTCTATTTGTTTTTCTAGCTCATTTAAGTTAGTTTTTTTTTTCGAGTTTTTCATCTTTTGTTTTTTTTGTTTTTTCTTTCGTTTTATTGATGTGCCAATCATTTAGTACCCAGATTCATCTACATATTGTCCTATATTTATGTAAAACCAAGTGATATATTGTTCAACTGAATCAAATATAAGTAAATGTGAAGGATACGAAACTTAAGTTCAATAAAATACAGTTATAACTGACAAATGATGTTACACACTACGGTTGTCTATTTATATTTACATACAGTTAGTGGAGATATATACAGATATGCTACAAACAAATATGTACATGTGTGTTGTCTAAGACTCGGATCTACAGATAGATATTACATCAATACAAAAGTTAGTTCGATTCAAGCAGTGTACAGAGTTCAAAGTTGTGTAAAAACTAAGCGTGTCTGAATATTTACAGTTTAGCATCTACATATCTAAGTACATCTATTGATAGATATATGTATGTGTATATATATAGTAATCTCATGCAATCTACGGATAGTTGTACTAGTTGTGTGCGTTTGTTTGTGGGGTACATATATATATATATTGTATATGGGATTATTCTGTTGGTTTCTGATTTCAAGTTCTGGTGGATGTGCAGCTGAGCGAGCGAGTGACCTGTCCAAATGTCCATCAATCAGGTAATGAGCCCGACTTACTTACCACGCTTTAACTAACCTACTTTGTGGACTTGCAAACAGTAAGCGATTAGGTCGAGTTTTCATTCAAGTGTATTCCTATCAGGGCGGATACCAAGGCGGCATCCAAAACTTTGTTCTCTTGTTTTCTTCGAGTAGAGTTGTGTGCCCGAATCGGCACGAAAATATTTGATAGTAGTGAAGGAGTATTTAATTGTTGTTCTGTTTCGTTTTCTTGTTGTGAATTGAATACGTGTTTAGAGTTTGAAACTACTTAAGAGTACAATATAAAGGTCCTAAGTTATCAACAACAGAAAAACGGGAAAAGAAGAAGAATAATTTACTTTCCGTATTGGTAAGTGGGACACAAGAACATGTACTATAGTTATAAGAATAAAATGCTTCTGCTTTAAAATATCCTAAACACATTACTCTATATTAACACTAGAACTGCCCGAAGTCAGAAAACGTGTACACAATTATTCTGCAAGTATACGACCCTTACTGTCTCATACCCGTTCAAGCAGTCAAACTGGGCATATTGGTTCGATTTATCTGCAAGTGTCCAGTCCGGAGTTATACTACTTGACTTGAAAAGTCCCGAGATTATAACTTTAATGTGGGCGTGGCAAAACGGACATCACTGGATTTCGAACAATTTTTATGCGAATGTCTATGGAAGCTGGAGACCTGGAATTTGGTATTTAAATCCGAAGTATACGACTCTCTGATAAAAACCTTATAAAGTTAAGGCTCCTGAGACTATCAAATTTATGTCCCTATTTGAGTAGGCGTGATAAATCGCAAAATAATTATTAGTGCGATAGTTTAAAACTTGATCTGGTTTAGTTTACATATTGATCTCAAGAATATACTAAAAATTCCAAGAATTCAAAAAGTACAATTCGGTTGATCTCTTCTATTGACAGATCTGGAGCCACATCTATGGTTCGCCCATTAGACTATTTACTAAAGTGAACTGGCTGAACGGGTATTGGGCAGTCGAGTGCGCCCGACTGTCATGTTCTTGATTGTTTTTCTTTTCTTTTTAACAGATTTCGCATGGGTTGCTTTAAGGCGAAGGCTGCAGGGATTTCTTTGAGATTACTTTTCGTTTAGATTATATTACGCTTTCTAAATTTCAATCATGTTTCTGCCAATGCCAATTCGCTGTCGGAGCAATGCCAGGCGACGCTCTGTTAAATTGCCGAAGGAATGCTTACGTACATGTAAGTAATTAAGTACTTATACATACGATCAACGATCAACGATCAAATTACAACATTTAGTATGAATACTAGGCGAAGATTTGCTTCTCTAAACTGTTCAATAATGGCTATGCGATACACACGCATACACATATACGGATATGTCTATATATGTACACATATGTATATATATATATGCATATGCATGTGTATTTAAGGTATGTATGTAAGTTGCTAAATTGCTTACATTAAGTTACATCGCACGCATGTACATACATTTAGTTCTAGATGTACACACATTAATACTTATACTGTTACATACATACATTAATTTATACATATACAAGTATATATACGTACATATACAACAATAATTATATATATGTGTATATGTATATGTATATATATGTATATATAGTTGTGTATGTAGATGAGTGAGCGTATAGTTTCAAAGGTACTAGTGTTTTACTTCGACTTAAGTAATTTTGGTTTTTTTTGAACAACATTTATATCGGAAACGGATTATGGACACAAAGAGTATTCACATATATTCATAGAGATAATATACACAATTATTGATTCTTGTTTAAGTTTTTAAATTTGATTGATAATTTCTTTTTGGTTTACCGCTTGGAGTTTATCAAACTTATTCACCTTTTTGTTTCTGAAATTATTTAAAAATTAGAAAAAAAAAACAATTTACTTATGTAAATGTACAAAGCACAGAAAGTTGTTAGTGTTTGTTTGATTGTTGTTAGTTAGTGTTTGATTGTTTGTTCATTGGTTTGTTGTTGTTGCTATTGGTATTGTGATTGTTGTGTTACTTTGTGAGTGAACTTAAAGGAAAACAAATCAAATATTCAAAACAAGAGAAGTCTTGAGAGTCTCAGCAGACCTACACATAGCATATCATATGATGGCTCGAATTTATTCATTCATCAAATATACATACATATGTATATGTATGTGGTAAGTCTGATCTCCATTATATAAGTATACATATAAATAATGTATGGCAAATGGCTGATTCAGGTGAATACGAATCACGTATATATGATATTTATATGGGATGCATATGTATGTATGCACATGTATAATACATCTATGCATGTATGTATGGCATGTATGACATGTGCAGCCAGTACAGCTAAGAATAGATTGATAATAAGCTGTGGAATACCGAAATCTGAAGTGGAAGATGTATCTTCATTAAATTGTTGGGTAACTGTTATTATGACGAACACCTAAAGAGTTTTTCTTGAGATCTACATGTACATAATAATATTTTATATATTATAACTTGAAGTTATACTGGCTATATCAGAGATATCTCAAATTGAGATCATTAAATTGCATTAAAAAGGGAATCTTCGGTCCTTAAAGTACTTTTAGATAGCACTATAGAACTTCAAATGCAAATCTTTTCTGGAAAAAGTCCTCGAATACAATTAAAATATTTTGCTTCAAGATTCGATTTATCACGTGAAAAAACCATCAGGAACGTGGAATCCCTTTGGTTATTGGTTTATGTTTTAGAAGAGTGCAGAACTATGTGTGTCATACCTTTGAGCTGGTCAAAGAAGCATTGGACTTCACTTTAAAGTAAATAATTATCTTGAGGAAACATCATTTCGATCCCAAAAGCTATAGGAAGTATTGGCATACACTTCACAATTTAAACAAATCCTGCACTATGTCAATCGAATTTCGATTCCGTCCTTAAAACATTTATCAATAGACATTATGTATTATAATTAAGTGGAAAATATACTGGGTATACGAAGAGTTCCTTTCTATAACAATATACGAAATGGGTTGAAAAAGCGATTGAGGCAAGTAAGTACAATAGAGGTAAGAAGGTCTTTGTTTCGTTACACATATGAGGTTCAATCAAGGAGAGCTTCTAATGAGCAATACGAATGGATATGAGCTCTACAGCGAGCTGGTCATAAATGTACCCAGAGCAATATCGAGCGAGCAGTTCTGGCTGACAATGAAGACTGGATGTATTGATGTATACATAAAGATGAGTGATGACTGACTGATGAATGATGAATGATGACTGATGACTGATGAATGGTGACGTTAGCAATACTATGCACTTGTGATGTTAAAGTTAAGGTGTTGTTTGTTTTTAAATTACCTAACTGATCGCTTTCTGATCGTACTCCGACGTGCTAGTGTTGCCAAACTGTTGTGTTCGACATCACCATTAGCGTGATAAGTGCTTGCTAACAAATGTGTCTGTGAGTTGGCGCCTCCTTCCCCATTTGGCTCAAAACTTATCGAGCCCTGACGCGATCCTCCTTTGTCAAGGGCTGCCATATCGAGCAGGCAATTAAAGAATGATTGTTTCTATTTTGTTTCGTTTCATTTAGTTTCGTTTCGTTTTGGTTTTGGTTTGGTTTCGTTTCGTTTTGAAGTGCAGTTCGTGCCAGATTTGAGGTTCGTTTATAGCATTTGGTTTGTTTTCAGTTATTTGGTGATTGTTTCATGGGTATATATAGAAAAGGTTTTGAGTGTGTGTTTGTTGTTATTTTGTTGTTGATTTTGGATTTATCATTGTAGTTTCATTGGATGCGATTTGTTGGTTGGTTCGTAGATAGCGAAACGTTGCGAGTTCAATTTTCAGTTTTCAGTTTTCATTGTTGTAGATTTGTTGGGTGAGTGGTGAGTATAAAGAGTCATGTTTGCATTGCAACGCATTAGATTTTTTGTTTGTTTTTTTTTTTTTTTGATTTGTGTTCAAGCATTAGAATGGAATGTAAGAATTATTATAGAATAATTGAAAATGTAATAAGTAGTTACAAAACGAATTAAAGATACATAACCAAAAAAGATTTAATTATGTATATAGATATATACACATGTATGTATATATTTATATATATTAATGTATAGCTGTTGTATTTTCTTTTTATAGTCTAAAAATATATAGTTTTGTTTACGTAATATAATAGATATATATGCAGTTATATATATATATATAGGTATGTTTATATTATAGTAGTATGGGCAAATAGCGGGTTTTCTGCTGATTTCTTTGATACGTATGTGTATGGAGTAGAGTATACCATTTAGAGATGTTTAAAGCTCTATGCATTTTAGAAAAATGTGTGTGTGTGTGTGTATATATATATATAGATATAAATGTGTGTGTGTGTGTGAGTGTATTTTGATTTGGTTTTATATTGATGTTTTTTGTTTTTTATATATATATATGTATATATATTTCAATTGATGTGGTAAAAACATGCGCAAACATTTTTACAACTCACTAGGTTTTTGAAGAAAATCTAAGAAGTATCTGTGTAAATATTTGAATATGAGAATTATGAGTGCCAATTTATAGAAAATGTGGACCGGGCAAGTAAATAGAATTAGATATTTGCAAAGAAAATCGTTTATCATATTGAGAATGTTTCTTTTTTTAGTCTTAGCTTATCGCTTAGCATGGTGTGGATGTAGTCTAGTAGTAGATGGTAAATGCTCAACACAAAAGATAAGTATCGAAAAGATATCTAAGTTTTTAGGTTGCATTTTCATCACACTTTCAGTTTATTTATGGTTTTTGGTATTATTAGTTTTGGTTTTTTGTTTTGTGCATGCCAAGGATTTCAA